TTGAAGGCCTTGCGCCTACGATCTGCGTGTGGCTGACGTCCGGATTCACTTTCCTCCGAAGTTTTCGCAGTACGTCGACATACGTTGTTCCTGTTGCGACTTGGATCACCATTGTAGATCCAATTGTAGTTTTCTTCTTACTAGTTTGCTTAGGATTCGTTTCTACCGTCACCTTCGTAATCTTTTTGACAAGAGGTTCCTCCTCTTGCTTTTTCTTCTTCACCTCGGCGTCAATCCTCTCCGGACTGACAGAGCTTTTTCTACGTTTCTGCGTGTCAAAGCCGTTTCTCATGGATACGCTCTCTTTTCCTGTTTCGCTCTTCTCGGATTACCTCCGTATTACCTATAGCGGCACCGAGATTGCTCTCTCCATTATCTGCTAGGTCGTGGTTTGTCTTGATTTCACTGGCAAGATCTTGAAGAGTCTTAATTCCGTCCTTAAAAGTCATGTTGACATTCTTCATACATTTTGATGTTTAAATTTTGTTTTCGACTGTTGACATTCTTCTAAACTTCACAAGTCTTAACCATCTTGTCGATCTCCTATTCGATCCTCTGAAGACACTGTGCTTCCTCCTGCCTAAGCTTTAAACACTTCTCGCGTTCTTCTTCGATTATCTCGTTGTCTAGGTTAGATGGAATGAAACTTCTTCTGCTGCTGACACTAGAAACGCTTGAAGCGCTTCCTCCTCCTCCTGCAGCACTGTTGTCACTGTGTTTTGACGCTGGGAAGCCAACTTTCGCACTTCCAGCAGCGCCGGCACTGAGGTATCCCTCCTCTGCATCATAAACGTCTTTATTTAATCCTTTGCTTTCCATATATCTTTTTTTCCTTACCTTACATCTTGGTTTTTGGATGTTCTTTAGTAAAAAGGCCCACCACCACAACAAGTTCTACCATAAATTGACAAGACTCTTGGTAGCGGACAACCATCGGCAGATTTGATTTTGTATCCTGAGATGATACTTAAAAACATAATGCAAAAGATCAGGAATAGAACCGTTTCATTATACCGCTTTGATAAAAAGATTGGCACAGTGTCCATCCCGAAAGGATGTCTGTACACAGACATAAGAAAAAATAAAGCAGGAGTCTTATCACAGAACAGCTCAGGTTGACCACTCGTACAGTTTGGGGTCCACCGCTATATTGTTATAATCCGAAATTATAACGATACTCTATCCTTTTATTGAATCCTTATATGTCCTATGTAATTGGTCAAATCTAGTGGCTAATATCATTGAGGGAGGAGATCAAGTAGACACTATAGATTTCTTCAAGACCACACAATTTTTGTTGCTAAACTTAACGTCCTGGTTTTTGCTAAAGATATGCTTTGTTGGGTCAGAATTTATAGATACTTATCTGTAAGAGTATAGAATATGATTAATCTGACGTTTTTTAGCCACCTCTAGTGTTCCTCAAGGTTTGCATCTGAATCCTCTACTTTTTTATTGCATTTGTAAATGACACTACACCAATATTTAATATCAGCAATTCGGGGACGTAATGGGATTACCTAATCTTCAATGGCTGTAAAAACAATTGTAACCTATCTTAAATATATTAACCCAAAAATACCATTAAAAATGGTAATAAATAAAAATCATAACAAAAATACCCAATACCATTTTATATTAAAAAAATATGTTTCTTGTGATAGTCATTTAATTTCTAAATTTAATTGCGAAAAAATAGAAAAATAAAAATTTAATCTAGACAAAAACCTCGCCTGTATAGGTACTATAATGTAAAGAAAGCTGATACAAAGGGATAAAAATAAATTTTTGCACCTCTTGTTAAAAGAGAGAGAGAGAGAAAAGTGATTTTATTGGGAATTTAAATGGCTTGTAACGGGCGTCCAATCAACGTAATGACGCTTGTATATATATATATACATGTTTCCATACACCAGGCCACAGTTGCAACATTAAGCTATACTATTAATAAACTATCTCTTTGGTTCTCCGATCAGTCGTGCGTCACTGTCGGTAAGCGTCAATGAGGATGTCTTTGAAATATATAGTCCAACTGTGGGACACCGGTGCATTTACCCTCGAATTGACCTCAAACTTCACAATAATGAATGAACCACTTTTACGCCATTGCCAACCATTATTTTTACTAATGTTCGTCAATACATGTTTAACAAAAATATTACTTATTTTTAATTAACGAAATTTTTTTTTAATTTGTAGGTTTTCTTCTTTAATTAAAGGAGCATAGAGGCACGAACATAACCTTAAAATTGAAAAATGATTTTTAACGCAAAAAATTCAAAATGGCGCATACAATATGGAGACAGGTATTTTTAAAATTGACTGGATTCACTTGAAATTTGCTATTCGGGGGGGGGGGGGGGGTCGGGATCGCTGATTACGAATCTAATGTCAGTTTTTAAAAATTAAAAATGGAATATCCAATGTGGCGGCAGTTAATTTTGAAAATCGATCGGATTCACGTGAAACTAGTTATTCGGGGTTTTTTGAAGTCGTTGATTACGAATCTTTAGTAACCCGGGTAGAAATTTTGTCATGGTCCAAACCTGGGCTAAATCGGGCGTTCATAAAATTGGCATGAAACGCCTTATCTGATTTGGGCCATAAGATGAAGCCTGAAGCCTAAGATTTTGACGCTTCCTAGGTCTGGCCCATATTGGATGAGGCGTTTCAAGCCATTTTTGGGTCAAATATGTCAATTTCTACAGGGGGAGATTTAAAAAATTCAAAATGATGAATCCAATATGGTGGTTAAAAAAAATCTTATTTTTGTTAATGTAAGAAAAAATATTCAAAATGACGGTATTAATCCTCAATTTTGATTTCTGAAAATCTGACATCATTTGTAAGCATGGATCACGAAAACCGCTAAGTAACGAGTTTCAGGTGAATTTTAATTTTAAAAAATTTGAAAACCTAACAATAAAAATTTTCAAAAAATGTCATAAAATATGGCCATAACTTTTTGGTTTTTAATTTTTTTTGCTTCTCAATTCTGCTTGCAGATTCTGAAAAATATAAGGAATAATACTTTTGAAATTTTTGATGATCTCAGTTCATCTATATATAATTATATTATTTTCAAATTCTCTTGTTGTGACAAAAATGGAAAAATAAAATTTTAATTTTTTTACGTTTCAATTGATCTCACATATGCTATTCGAATGGAAGCGGAAATCACGCAAGACATTTGCGTTTGGTATCTACAATCAAATGACGCGTGAACTTGGCAACGATTTCTCCCATTTATTACGTGTGTCCCACCCGCGCTTAATTTTGTCCCTGTGCCCGCAGAATGTCGACCTCCAACTGTCTCCATGATAAATGCAATTGTTTTTTTTTTTTTTTTTTTTTTCAAAACAAAAGTCCCATGAAACGCATTCATTTTTTTGTTATCTATTTGCAGCATTAGATACATATTATAATTTTTTTTTTATTTCATTCTTATGAATTAATTTACAACTAAAAATATGAATTTAATTAAAAATATCGTTGTTTTAATTTTATAATAATAGTTATAATAATAATTACCCTAAAAGAATGAAAAATGTTAATTGAATAAAATTTTTTATTCAAAAGAAATGAATTTGTAACTATTTTTTTGAAACGTTTGCATTTCATAATCGGATATTAATATAATTTGTAATTTTGTCATTTTTATAATAAATCATTGTGGCAAATGGAAAATTGTCCATTAAATATATATTGAGGAAGAGAAATTGCAAAAGATCACAAACGATGTCAGTCAAGATTCAAAATATGATCCTCTTAAAACTAAAATTTACAAATATTGAGAGCATTTGCAACTATGAGGGAACACTGTCCTAGTTTCATGCATCTAATCTCTGTCCGACAAACTTTAACATTTTGGCAAGCTTCACTCATTAACCTGGCTTGATATTACGTCACGATACGATGACTTACTCATGCGACACTTAAAATCAGTGTTTTTTTTCCTTCCTAAAATGTATGCTTTTCACCATTAATTATTATCACATAACTTCATTTAAATATATTAAATTCAATTTATTAATATAGTTATTCATATATACGTACCTTATCAAAATCTCAAAACTGAGGAATTTTTTTTTAACAATTTAACGTAAACAAAATTATGATTAAAATTAATTTACAACCAATTTTAGAAGATCTTGTTATATGCATTTTGTAGAAAAACGATGTTGATTTAAAATCTTTTTTTAAATAATTATTTTTTTAACATTTTAATTCTTTTTTCTTTCAACTCAGACAAAAATCACAATTTTTATCTAATTTTAATAAACAAGGACTTATTTAATTCAGTGAAATCTACTCTACAATCGCTTATATTTTTATATTGTTCAACAATAAGTTGTAAAAAAATTATTTACTAAATAAAATTTCAATTATTTCTAAATTATTTAACAACTTACTTTTAACAATATAAAAATTCAAGCAATTGTAAAGAATGTCTTACTGAGTAAAATAAGAAAATTAGATAAAAATTGTGATTTTTGTCTACGCTGAAAGAAAAAACATTAAAATGTTTTAAAAAATAATTATTTAAAAAAAGATTTTAAATCAACATCGTTTTTTTGCAAAATGCATATATAACAAGATCTTCTAAAATTGGTTACAATTAATTTTAATCATAATTTTGTTTGCGTTAAATTGTTAAAAAACAATTTCTCATTTTTCAAGTTATGTTAACGTGTACCATTCCTTCTTAAAAACTAAAAAATAATTTAAGGAAAAAATTTGCCTTACTGAATATTTTTTTCAACTATATCACTTTGTAAGTGAGCAAATTGATTTTCACAATAAAAAAAGTAGAAAATAGATAGAACGAAAAGAAAATTACAATTAGGAATGAATAACTTTAGAAATATAACATATCTTCTATTGACTAGATTTAAAAATTAAATATCTTTAATTTATCAAAGGATCATGCAATGAATTATTAAAAAATGTTGTAACCTTAGTTTAAAGAAAATTCTATATTTTTATTAAAAAATCTAATCTCTTTTATATTTATTAAATAGTTTTTTACAATATGTCATGGTATCACTATTATCTGAAAATACAAAAAACTCCTCAGTGTGTCAACAGTATATTTATATATGTGATCGTATCTGAAAAAGGGGTGTTATCAATTAAAATATCGAATTTTTTTTTTCTGTCGATTTTAAAAAAAGGACACTAATTACAAATCCAACAACAAGTATTCAAAATACAAAATATCCGATTCACAAAATACGAATATATTATTCAATCTATAATCAGCTATCCTAAAAATTCACGAATAACGACTTTAAAGCAAATATGTTAAACTTAAAGAAAAAAATTTGCTACATTGTAACCATCATTTTGAATTTTAAAAAACTAACATCGGATTCGTAATCAGCGACCCCAAAAACCCCCAAGTAACAAGTTTCAAGCGAACCTGATCAATTTTTGACAAATTTTCCGCCATATTGGATCCGACATTTTGAATTTTTAAAAACTGACAACAGATTCGTAATCAGCGACTCCCAAAACCTCCGAGTAAGAAGATTCAAATGAATTTGATCAATTTTCAAAACTACTTGTCGACATATTGGATCCGCCATTTTGAATTTTGTAAATATCAAGTCAAATTCGTAATCAGTGACCACAAAAACCGCTACATAACAAATTTCACGCAAATCCGATCAATTTTTGAAAAAATCGTCCATGTTGGATTCGCCATTTTGAATTTAAATTTTTTTTTAAAAACTAACATTGGATTCGTAATCAGCGACCCCAAAAACCCCTAGTAACAATTTTTTAAGTAAATTAGATGAACTTCAAAAAATGTCCGCCATTTTGAATTAATTATTTAAAAATACGCCCGCCATATTATATCCGCCATTTTGAATTTTGAAAATCTGAAGTCAGATTTGTAATCGGCGAACGCAAAACCCCCCGAATAATAAATTTTGAACAAATCCGATCAATTTTTCATCAATATGCCGCCATATTTGATCCGACATTTTGAAATTTTGTAAATCCGGTCAATTTTTATAAAAACCTGCCGCAATTTTGAATTTTGAAAAATTTACACCGAATTTACACTCATCATTTATTTTGATCGATAACACCTGCTTTTTTCAGAACGCAATCACAATTATAATTTTGATAAGAAGAACATTTATCTTTACATTGTCTTTTATCACTATTTTCCCTTCAACTTTTTTTTCTCAATGCACTTTCCAGAACTAGAATCAGTTTCATTACCTCTTGGACTTGCCTTCTCCTTCATTTCTAATGATTTCCTCTCTTTTACATTGACACAATTACCATTACTTCTTCCATTTTCATTTCTGACAAATTTTTTAGTCAATTTTTCACCACGACCCTTACTACTTTCTCTATCGTTAATTCCACTTTGCCTTTTACTAACGCCACTAAAAGATTCATCACGTCCCTCAGACTTCTCTTCAGAACTCTTTGATTCCATTTGCATCATTGTAATTGGCGACTGAACAGTTTCCATACAATGTTGAGAATTTTTTGAATCTCGCGAACTTCCAAGATCATCGGTGGAGTTGAATTTAGTCAATGAAGGTGGTATACGAAATTCCTTGCAACTTTCGTCCTCAGAACCCAGACCAAGAACATCGTCAATATTCATAGAAAATGAAAGAGTACTTAGGGAAGCATCAGGAAGAAGGGAAGAGTCTTCGAAATTTGGATAATCATCCCTTAGAGACGAGGGATTAGGATCATCTGAAGACGAAAGTTCTTTATTTAAATTTTTAGCGGAAGGAATCAATTTGTCACTTATGGAAGATGAGAGTTCCTTCTTTCTTTCAAAAGAATAAAACGTCTTAAGATGAGGATTATCATCATTGTTTGTTGAAGATTTCATCTCTTCTTGATTCCCTTTACCATTCTCATGGATTTTGTTTTTTGATAATTTCTCGACAGTCTTGGAGATTTTCACATCAGTCACTTCCTCGAAAAAAGTTGAGGATCTTTGGCAAAAGTCTATAATTTTTTTCTCTTTAATTACATTAACCTCCTGTACCTTTTCCATGTCCTTAGCCTCTTTGAAAGTTTCCATCTTCTCCTTCTCTACATCCTTAATTTCTCCTTCTCCTTCATGTTCCTCTATTCCCTCTAATTCCTCTTGATTCATCACTTGATCTCTTCCCTCCTTTAAAGATTCTTCAAGAAAAATAAATTCCTCCTCCTCCTCCTTTGAAGTTAACGACGAATTGGTGACAATTTTATACTCCTCAATGAATATCGAACTCGTCTCCTCCAAACTTGTTACATCCTCTATTATAATTCTTTTGGGACTTCCAGGTATGGCTAACGGTTCCCGAATACTCTCATGGGAATTATTTTTAAGATTTACTTCGATTTTTTCCAACGGTACTTGAGAAACATCTTCAGGAGAATTATCCTCGACGCTCGTTATAAAATTAAGATAATTATTCTCGAGCATTGGATCTTCCTTGGCGAAAAGGATGTCGAGAATAGGTCCAAGTTTGGGATTAAAATCCAAATTAAATGATGATTCCTTAGGAAAGATATTCTCCACATGTGGAGGAGAATGTGTGAAACCATTGGGAATGGGATAAATTCCTTGATGGCAAAAATAGTTCAAATCATGTTGAAAGTAACAATGAGATTCTTCTGCAAGATTTTCTTTAGGTTCATCAATTGGATATTTGGGTTCATCAATATTTTCACCACTTTTACTAAACTTTTCTTCCATTTTAGTTTCGTTAATTATTTCTTTCCTTCCACTAATTGTTTCCTTCTCTTTTCCTATCCCGTTGAATATTCTTTCACCGCTGGATAACTGTTCCTCTCCTCCATTAACCAATTGGTTTGTATTAATTGTTTGACTTGCTTTTTCCACTCCATTAATTTTTTCTCTACTAATTTGCCCTTCTTTTTTCGAATTCTCCTCCTTTCTTTCGATCTCTATAATCTGATTTGAATTTCGATCTTTGTCTTTTTCCCTTCTCATTGAAAATTGACTCCTTCCGCTATTTTTCTCAATTCCGTTACATTTAGCTGCTCCATTCTCTTTAATTTTTCCGCTGTTATTTTTTGTTTCCACTTCCCTTTCTCTATGAGTTTCTCTCTTTAAGTATCTTTTTACCTCTTTTCTTTCATCTTTCTCTTTTCCAAACTCTCTTCTTTCACTGTTTGCTTTTCTTCTCCCACTGTTTGTTTCTAATTCCATACTCTGAATCTGTCCTCCATTTCTTTTGGTGGATTCATTTTTTATTTCTCTATCTTTGTTTCCTTCCTTTTCCCTCCTAGCTCCACTTGTTTCTTTTCTTACCTCTCCAATTGTTTCCCTCCTCCTCTCTCCTTCGAATTTCTTTTTTCCCAATGAAAATTTATCTACTCCATTCTCTAAAATTTTTGTACTCCTACTATTTTGTCTAATTCCATTGCATATAATTGATTCATATTTAGCTTCATCTTGAATTTCCCTTAATTTTTCATCTTTCTCCTCTTCTTTTCCAAGTGACTTTAATTCTATTCCATCATTTATTACATCATTTTCTTTTATTACATTTTCCTTTCTCTTATCTTCTCTCATTCTTATTGTTGTCTCTTTTACAATTTCCTCTTCCTTCCCTTTCTGTTGATTTTCCTTCGGTTCCTTTGCTTCTTTTTGACCTCCCTTTCCACTTTCTGCTTCCTTTCCTCTTCCTTTAGGACCTTTCCCACCTTCATCATCCTCCTTTTCCTTATCTCGCAATTTTTCCCTCCCTCCTCTAGCACTTCCGGGTAATTTCTTCCCCCTGTGGCGTCGATTTTCAAATTGAAAAACAGGCAATGGAATGCAATCGTGAAATTCACCGGTATGTTGAAGTCCCCCTTCGGCAAACGCATTTTCCAATGAGAGTGTCGGCCTTTGAATGGCATCTTCTCTTCTTAGACGTTTTCTATTTGTTGATTGACGAGTATTATCATCAAATGATTTCAGTGTTACCTCTTCAATTGGTGATAAAAGTGATTCTGTTATTGTTGTACCAGGATCGACCTAAGTAACAATTTCACAAAAAAAAATGATTTTCTTTTAAAGACCATCAGGTGCGACAGTTTCGACAAGTATACGTGCTAGAACTTTTTAAGTGACTTCCGGTTCGTTTCAATCGAATTACCCACTGTACGTAATGGATTATTAACAGATCAAAAGGGACTTTGATTCCTAAAATCGATGACCTTGTAGCCACCCCTCACAAGATTTGAATTCCTAGTATTAATGTTTTGTACGTTTAATTTTATTTTTCCTAGTTTTTACATTGAATATTAAAGAATCCAAAGTTAAAGTTATATTAATATTAATTAATATAGTATAATTATATAATATTAATTAATATTAATATTATATTAAATTTCTCTACTTTTTTTAATTTCTTTTTCAAAATTTTGTATTTAAATTCTTTTTGATATAATTTTTTGTAACGAACATGAAGTCTATTTGTATTTTAAGCAGTGTAGACACAAATGAACAAATAGAATTAAGAAAAAAAAGTTGGTTACAATGTAAATAAGTTTCAAAAATATATTTATAGATATAATTACGAAAAAATTACATATTTTTTTTAAAAAGCTTTTACAAATACAAAGTGCACTAAGCTTTACATCAACGCAATTATAACGTAATATAATAATGTAATTTCATCAGTTAACACATGAGAAAAAATTCCTGAAGTGGATTACCCAAATTAAAGATGTACTGTATTTACTTGGAAATAAAAAAATTAAAACAGTTGAAAAACTGTCTCAAAGGATTTTTCAAAAAAAATAAATTTCTCATAGTTATAAACAATTGAAGTTTTTTGTAGTCTTAAGTTAAAAAATAAATATCTTAGAACTAGGTGAACGGATATTTATAGAAATTGTTATACTTACACAGAAAATGATACAGTTTTAATTGAAAATTAAAATTTTTTTATTTTTAATAATTGTTATTGTAAAATTAATTGTTTATTTAAAAAATAAACCATGTTCTCGTTGTCGTAGAAACATGATCCAAAGTTTATTGCAAAGGGAATTTCATAAGGATTCGAAAACCGTTTTAAAGTTTCGTGGATCGCAATTAGCAAAAAAGTTATCGCGTTTTTTGTGCAGCGCTGCGTGTCTCTAATGCTAGCACGCAGAATGTATTTCGCTCAAAAAATATGGAAACTTGCAAATATCTCGAAAAGTGCAAATTTTTATAAAAAATGTTTAAGACAAAAGTTGTTCCTAACAAAAAGATCTACATTTGTGAATCCAAAAAATTTGTTGTTTTTGTTAAATAAAATCCTCTAATTTTCAGAATCAAATTCGTAATCCCTATATGAAATTTTGTGTTTTAACGTGTGAAGTATATGAAAAAAATATTGGACTGAGGAATCTTACATTGAGCTCTAGGCCTAATGCGAAAAATAGCTTCGAATTTCTAATATGTTACCCCAAAAACCACATAAGCCGTGATTTTTTTAAATTCACTTATTTGAAGAAAAATGTTGGGCCCAATGTCAAGGATTCTATCTAACGAAATTCAGATAAGTGAAATTTCGGACAAATAAAGTATTGGTGAAATAAAAATTCTTTGTCTTAAAAATTTAGCTAAGTAGAATTTCTTTTAAAGGACAATTTTATTAAGGGTATGTGGGCAAAGGATGTTTTTTGTGGTTTGAAACTCACGCAACTCATTTTAGAGTAAGATGTATACTACCAAAACACATTTTCCCATACTAGGTCACGTGGGAGGTTTTCACATACCCTTAAATAAAAAATAAATATAAAAGAAATTTTATTTCCTAATAAAAGTTTTGTTATATAGAAATTCTTTTAATTGGAAATTCTATTAATAAAAATACTTTTAAGTGAATATTCGGATAAATAGAAATTTGACAAAAGAACAATTTTGTAAGAGTATGTGGGAACCTCCCACGTGACCTAGTATGGGAAAATGTGTTTTGGTAGTATACATTTCACTCTAAAATGAAAAAAGATTTTTCTCTAAAATTTTGAGGGATAATAGATTTGGGTTCAAGGAATCTCGCTGTTCTCCGCAAAAAATACATAATTTTGTGTTAAATTATTAAAAAATGAAGTTTAAAAAGTGTCATTTTTAAATGAAAATGAAAACAAAGATGGCGGCGCATACACAGACGTTGCTTGAGTGTGTCAGTGCTCCAGTAAACAGCGCCAATTCGAGCGAGTGGCCGCTGAATGAACTACGATATAATACATTATTTTACAATTTATTGCTTTATTTTTATTATTTTTGCGTTATGTTATAGTAAATGTGAAGAACAGCGAGATTCCTTGCACCAACCGAAATCATTTTTCCAAAATTTTAACCCGAAATCATTTTTTATTTCAGAGAAAGTTTCAAACCACGAAAAAACGTCCTTTGCCCACATACCCTTAAATGGAAATTGTATTATTTGAAAATTCGATATATTAGAAAATCTTTATTTAATATTAAAGTTCAGTTAAATAAAAATTCTATAAAATAAGAATTTTTTTAAATAGATATTTTTCGATATTAAAATTGGGCTCATTGTAAATTCTACTTTTTTTTAAATTCTACTAAATGAAAATTCGATAATTTTTAATTTGACACAACAAAAATTCCGGCAAGTATAATTTGGGGAATATTCATGCGTCCCCATTTTTAAACCAAAAAAATTGGGCCCGGGACCCAATGTGAGGCCTTACAGCGAAAAAAGTAGTCTTTTGAAATGAGACCACTAATATTGTGTATAAAAATCGTAATCCTCATAAAATTCTGCGTTCACACATGTGGTAAAAATACACAAAATATTAGGCCCAATCCTTGACAGTGGGCCCAACATTTTTCTTCAAATAAGTGAATTTAAAAAATCGCGGCTTACGGGGTTATTGGGGTAACATATTAAAAATTCAAAGCTAATTTTCACATTAGGCCTAGAGCCCAATGTAAAATTCCTCAGCCCAATATTTTGGTCATATACTTCACACGTTAAAACACATAATTTCATAGGGATTACGAATTTGATACTGAAAATTAGAGGATTTTATTTAACAAAAGCAACCAATTATTTGGTTTTACAAGTGTAGATCTTTTTGTTAGGAACAACTTTTGTCTTAAAATTTTTTTTTAAAAATTCGTATTTTTTGAGATATTTGCAAGTTTCCATACTTTTTGAGAAAACACGGTGCGCCAGAAGGTGGTTTAAATAAAAATGAATTGGCACTTAAAAATACTTTTTGATTATGATTCTTAGATGAATAAAAAACATTTCTCAATAGTTTTTAAAATCAGTTTACGTGCCCGATTTAAATAAAATTAAGTTTTTATATAAAAACAGTGTTTTATGGGGAATCAGAATTTATTTAATCTAATAAATACTGTAATAAATGATAAAATAGTTACTTATTTTCAATTTTACATATAAATAATTATATTGCTGTAGTGTTTGTGTCCGATTTTAAAAAATTAAATTATAATGTTAAAAGAACGATTTTAAGAATGACAAAATTTATTTAAGAGAGTCGAATGATCTCTGAAATTTTTTGGCAAGAAGAGACCTTTAATTGTCGCTCTATAAAAACGGCACTAAACGTGAAAATGATAAACATTGATTTTAAAATACTTTCTTCTCGAAAGACGGACACTTTTTACAAAAGCAGCTAGAGATCCTTATCTTATATAAATTTCCTAAATCCTAAAGATTATACGAATCCATACAAAAACACGATTGCAAAACGAAAAGTAATATAATGACAGGTACATTACCTCCTGCCGCCGTCAGATGGCAGCAGCATGCAGGACGCACAAAGTCGCAGCTGTTATTAGATTACTTTTTTGCTTTTTGTTTTGTAACCATGTTTTTCTATGGATTCGTACAGTCTTTTGGATTTAGGAAATTTATAAGATGAGGATTTTGGCTGATTTTGTTAAAAGTGTTCGTGTTTCGAGAAAAAAGTATTTTAAAATCAATACTATTTCACGTTCAGAGCGATAATTAAAGCTCTCTTCTTGCCAAAGAATTTCAGATACCGTTCGACAGTCTTAATGCATAAATATAAAAACGAAACAAGAAAATAACTTCATTGTTAATAAATTTATATGAACCCAAATCTAAAACATCTGTTATCTACACGCATAGAAGTATACATTAAATAAATTCTGGTTCCTCATAAAATAATATTTTTAAATATTTAAAACTCAATTTGTTTTAAATTAGGCACGTAAGCTGATTTTAAAACCTATTGAGAAAAGTTTTTTATTCATCTTAGAACCATAATCAAAAAGAATTTTTAAGTGCCAATTCATTTTTATTTAAACCTCCTTCTGGCGCACCGTGAAAAATACATTCTGCGTGCTAGCTTTAGAGACACGCAGCGCTGCACAAAAAACGCGATAACTTTTTTACTAATTGCGATCCACGAAATTTTTGAAACGTTTTTTGAATCCTTATGAAATTTCCTTTTCAATAAACTTTGGATCAAATTTCTACGACAACGAGAACATGGTTTATTTTTTAGATAAACAATTAATTTTACAATAACAATTATAAAAAATGAAACATTTTTAATTTTCAAATTTTCAACTAAAACTGTATCATTTTCTGTGTAACTATAACAATTTCTATAAATATCCGTTCACTTAGTTCTAAGATATTTATTTTTTAACTTAAGACTACAAAAAACTTCAATTGTTTATAACTATGAGAAATTTAATTTTTTTGAAAAATCCTTTGAGGCAGTTTTACAACTCATAATAATGTTTTAATTTTTTTTATTTCCAAGTAAATACAGTACATCTTTAATTAGGGTGATCTACTTCAGGAATTTTTACTCATATAAAAAAGATAAAGTTTAAAATTCAACCTACTATAATTGTACCTAAATTAACCATATTAATGCAATCATGCGATTCCAAATAGATTTAGTAAAATTGGCAACATTGTATTAATATTCTAATATTGCAGAAATAATGGCAAATTTAAAGCAATCTTGACAATATTGTTGCAATTTTAAGTGCTATGTGAATGA